GCTGCAGCACAAGTTCAATCCCCAGCCAGGGAGCTTTCCACATGGCAGAGCAAACCTCTCCTGACTCGCCCGCTGCTCCCCTCAGCAGTGTATTTCAGTCAATCTGCCTATTCTGTTCCCCACTCTGTCTCTGGTGAATCCTCTCACCCCCCTCACCTGTACCCCAGTTCATGTATGCATAAATAAATAAATCTTTTTTTAAAATGATATCTTCATGCCATAAGAAAATGCTTATGCAAAAAATTTTAAATATACTTATCAAAATCTTATCTAAGAGGGCCTCCATTGGTGGCGGAAGGGGTTAAGTACAGGTATGATCCAAAATTATCTTTAAAATATGACTTTTTTAAGAACTCTCCTACATTGCTGGTGGGAGTGCAAACTGGTCCAACCACTGTGGAAAGCTGTCTGGAGTTTCCTCAGTCTACTAAATACGGAGCTACCATATGATCCGGCAATTCCACTACTATGGATCTACCAAACAAACAAAAACAGTGATTCAAAAGAACCTGTACATCTATGTTTATTTATTGCAGCACTATTTACAATAGGTAAAACCTGGAAACAACCCAAATGCCCAAAAATAGATGACTGGATCAAGAAGATGTGGTATATATACACAATGGAATATTATTCAGCAATCACAAAAGATAAACTCATGCCATTCGCAGCAACTTGGATGGAGCTAGAAGGAATTATGCTCAGTGAAATAAGCCAGAAGGAAAAAGAAAAATATCAGATGGACGGTTTCATTATAACAGGAATGTAGGGGAACCAAATAAGACATCAGTGTAAAAAAAAAATAATAACAGTACAAAACACAACAAAGCAAAAATAGACAATTATAAACCAGAGACATATTGCAGGGGAGGAGGAGGGAGAGGGGTGAAAGGGAGGGACCTCAGGGGACTGAGGTGATGGTGCACGGGTGCCTTGGGGAAGGAAATTCTATGGGGACTCAATCTGAGAGGGTAGGGGGAAGCAAATATTGTCTAAAAAATGATAAATGTTAAAATAAAAAAAAAGTAGACAAAAAATGGCTTTTTAACCCCTTCACCTATTTAAAAAGAAAAATGCATAATACACTTTAAACAGTTGTTTTCTAAGTAATAGGACCACTTTTTATCTAGTGCTTTTGGCACATTTTTGTGCTAATACTTTTATTGGAAAAGAGGGAAAAAATGAGACTAGGACTATTACAGCTAATCAAACTGTTTGCTCTTTCTTATTCTAGGCCTGTATTTCTTTTCAGCTAAGAAAGTCAGTCTGAAGTTGCCTCTGCTAGTTCAGTTGCCTTGTCCAGTCCTGGGGATTAACAGCTGATGGTACCGTGTATTGTGCTGCCGACAGTTGTGTTCATTGAGTAAATTAATGTATCAAGCAGGAATCTAAGTTCTTTATATACACTACCTCACTTAATTCTCAACTCAACCCATGATTTTGTATGATTATCTTCATCTTACTGACACTGAAACTGAATTACGGCAGTTAAATAACTGGTATCTTATCATTCAACTGCAATTCAAACTCAGGCCCTCTGGGGTTAAAATGACGACACCCTTTACAAAACATTCAGCACTCCCAGCATCTTTTTAGGATTACCAAGTTTCAAAATACAGTTGACTCTTTAAAAAAAAAAAAAAAGATTTATTTATTTATCAGTCAGAAGCGCGAGAGGGTGAGAGAATTCACCAGAGCCAGAGCGGGGAACAGAACAGGCAGACTGACGAAATACAATGCTAAGGGGAGCAGCAGGCGCTGCAGGAGAGGTCTGTGATGCCATATGGGATCCTTGCCGGGGGACCGGGGATCGAACTGGCGCTGCAGAGGCTGCCGGCAGCTTCACAGCCCAGCAATCAACTGCTGCACTACCAGGGGAGGCCCAAAATACAGTTGACTCTTAAGCATAGGTTTGAACTTCACAGCTCCACTCATACATAAATCTTCCCAATAAATACAATTGATCCTCAGTATCCACAGGTTCCACATACATGAATTCCATCAACTCCGATGTGGGCTGATTGAATCCAAAAATGTGAACCACGGGCTAAAGAGGGCCAACCACAGGGACCTGAGCCTCTGTAGATTTTCGTATCTGAGTAGGTCCTGAACACAATCCCCCTCCCCCCAGTTACCAAAGAATAGTTAATATTTTGTGGAGTCAAAAATTATACTTGTTGTACAATTGAGGGGGAAGGGTGTGGCTCAAGAACTGATGTCAGCTTATACCTCTTTTCTGAGACTCTAATCAAATATTCATGTATTCAAAGCCTGAAACTTGAGAAAAAGAATTCATCATCTACCATCAGGCTTCCAATCTAACGGGGGAAATAAGACAAATACCCTACAGGAAACAATCAGCACAAAGCCAAAAGAAAGTGTAATTAAATGCTAAGGCATGTGACTGAGTGGCTGACTAGCACAGAAGTCATGTTGAAAGAACGGTCCTCTTCAAAGTATCACAAAATTTTGAACATATAAGAAATAACATTTGGAGACCTAGCCAACTCCAGCATTTCAAGATCAGAGCTAGTCATTTGGTGGCGGTCATACCACTGCTGCAATATTCTCCTTCCCTGGCTTAGCAAAGTCAATATGCCATTGGTCTCATTTTCAGATTATAAACTGTGAACAGTCCCTGCATTGAGGGGCCAGATTTATATTTTAGAATAACCAAAATCTTTGTTTCATTCTATTCAAAGTTTTGAAACATTTAGTGTTTTAATGTGCACTCTACCCAAAATATTACCAAATAAAAACATACCCAACCACATACGCATTTGAGGGGCCAAAGAGAAGTGATATCTGGCTGTCCTAAAATCATCTGGTTTAGAAAGAATCAGGCAGGAATTAATCATCTGTCCAGCTTTGATGCTTCCACAGCTGACATACACTTGTTTCTAAAGTACCCAAGAACTCTCTGCAATAATTCCTCACAAAATCTATCAATCATGAGATAATAGAGATAAGCTTAACTCTAATATTTACTTAAATATCAACTGACTGAACAATTATTTTTAATAAAAAGACGCCTGTATGTGAACAGGCAAAGATAAAGATATTAAATCTAGTTTTAAATAAGAAATTTTTGTAGCTAACATCTGATGTGACTCAGAACACATGAAATTTATTTCAGAAATGTTTATTCAAATTTGAGAAAAGAACACATGGTAAGATAATGAAAAATCAATTTGATGAATCTTTTTAATAAGTGTTTAAAAATAAGACTCACAGTCACTACATTTAAATTAAGTTTTCATGAAAAACACAAATCACTTCAATCTCTGACACAAAGCACACATGGATACAGTTAAATTTTCTTGTATTCTAAAATAATAATTCCTATGGGTTTACAGGCACAGGGCATAAGGTTATTTTTTCTCTGTATTTTCAATGCCTCAAAAATTATTTCAATACCCTCAATTAAACATAGACCATTCAAGTTAGCAATACTAACCAAAAACTCAATACAGTCCTCTTTCATTATATTTTCATCATATTTTCTCATTTACCTTACAAACTCTCGTACAATTGTTAATGAGATGAGAGAAATAACTAAAATGCGGCTTCAAAATAAGAAAAACAGGTCACTAAATGATAAGCGATCAATATTAAGACCATAAAGACAATCAGTTTCAAACAAGTCTCAAAAAACAGAAGTACAGTCAATACAAACTGAGATTCTAGATGCCTTCCACATAGCCCTAGCCAAATCTGTTATGGGGCTTCAAAGTTCCTGACAAAAACTTAACTTTCAACCTAAATACTAGAGCTACAAAACACAAGTTATCAGAATCAACACATCCCAGAGTCAGGTTAAAATGCTTTCCAAAGTCCCACACTTTAAGTTGAATGCAGAAAAGCTAGGAGTCTAAACTGATTAACAGCAACATTGGGGGGGGGGGGAGTTGGAGGGGGCCAGGAGGTAGGGGAGTGGGGGGGTGGGGGCAGAGAAGTAAGCTGTTTGCCTAACATAAAGCATTTACGGACAAATCCAAATTACCTAGTAATTTCCCTATGTCAAACAGTATATAACCCATATGCAAAAGGTGCATGTTTGCCTGCAATCACTCATTAACATGCATTCTACTTACTCTGCTTTTTGCCATGTATAAGCTTCATTCAAGACACCCAGAAAGAGTAACCAGTTGAGAGGTTCGGCTCAGACAAGCAAACCAGTTGTAAACTCGATCTGCAAATTTACGTCCCAGAACGTCCCACAGGTAAGCCACTAACAGTATATACATCTATATATATGCAGGTTTTAGATTGTGAAATAACGCATTTCAGCTTTCCGATTTGCACATTACGATTAGAAACCCTCAACTCAACTCCACATCCCCACTCCCAGAAGGAAAAAAAAAAAAAATCCCCTCTAGTCCTCATTGGTCCAAATAGTTCCTGCCCACATGGTATCAGTGGGTGTGTCCCTCCCGACAGGTCTTTTCATTGGCTGCGAAGAAACAGCGTTTAATAGGCTGTGATTTGGGGGGGTTGTCAAACTCCACGCCTCCAGACCTCGCGCTCGCCAATACACCCAAGGTGCTGGCTGCTGCTCCGCGATTCAAAGGGCGTGCGGGCCGCGGGGCGCCAGCCGCAGTCGGCGCCGCTTAGAGAAAGGAAGGGCCCAAGGACAAGGGAGAAAGCGGCTCGGCGGTCCCTCCTGCCCTGCTCCCGGCCCCACCAAATATTCCCACACGTGCAATTTCCCGCTGGCAAACTGGAGAGGCTGGCAGTGCCTTCCCCTCTCAGAGAGCCTTGCCCTAAAGAGCAGCTCATTCTGCAGACTGCGACCCATTCTACAGATGGAAGCGAGCATGGAGCCGGCTCGGGCAGGGATCTTTGGCACCCCTGGGCCAAAAAAAACCGGTTCCGGGCGCCCCCGCGTGCAGCCCGCGGACGGCGGCGCGCCCGGCGCTGCAGGCTCCCCGGCTGCCCGGCCGCAGGGACCGCGCGCGGCACCCTGGCCGCGCTCGCGCTCCCCTCCCGGAGGGACTTACGCGGCCTATTCTTCCTCCCCGAGTCCATCCTCCTCCGCAGCCGGCATTTCTTGGCCGGAGAGTCGTGCTGAGGGGGCGGGGGCTGCGGCTGGAGCTCCGGCAGGAGCGGGAGGCGCGGGGGCCCCGTGTCGCCGCCGCCCGCGGGGCCCCGGCCGCAGAGGCGTGGAGGCTGGACCGCGGCGGGTGGAAGCCGTTGTGCAGCAGCCCGTTCACGGCCGCGGCGCCGGCGTCCTCGGGGGCCCCCGGGGGGTGCGGGGCCGAGCGCTCCGGCAGCCCAGCGCGGTCGCCCATGCCGGGGGCTGCGGGGGCAGCGCGCGGGCGCGGGCTCAGGCGGCCTCGCTGGAGGTCATTCCCGGGCGTCTTTATTTCCCCGGATCCTCCCTGCGGCTTCCGATTCGGCAGCCGCAGAGCCGCCGCGGGGGACGGCGAGCCGAGCGCTCCTCCCCTTCTCCCGCCGGCTCCCCCGCCCCCCCCGCGCCGGGCCCGGGGAGAGCCCGCCCCTCCGCGCCGGGCCGGAGCACAGTCGCCCGGGGCGCGGAGTCGGGACTCCCCGCAGATCCCGGGCCTGGACCCCGGCAGCCCACCTCCCCGGGGCCCCCCGGCCGCGCGGCCTCCTCGCTTCCTAGACCCGTCCCGCTACTGAGCATGCCCGGCCCTGCCCGCCGCCGCCACCGACGAGCTTCAACCTGGGGACCCCAGTTCTCCGGGTTTGCAAAGGAGAGATGGGCGGGTTAGGCTTTGTATAGTAGACCGAGACCAGAAGGCACTGGGCGTTGTGTTTGAGAGGAGCGAGCCTCACGGAGCTGCACCGGGAGGAAGGAAGACAATAAATATTTGTCCAAGCTTCAGGTTTGCTAATCCTGTCGCTAGGATTGTCTACCTTTACAAGGTCATTCACGTTGCCCTCTCCTCTACCAATCCCAGCCCCTTTGTGAGTGTGCCTGTGTGTGTGTGTTTGGTTAAGTGGCGAAACTATTCAGAGGCCTCAGGGGAGGGAGGATTATTTATAGAAAGGTAGGCCAATTTGGGGAGGGAGGGGAATGAACTTCTTTGCTGGCATACACTCAAACACCATGTGGTCCCCTGGAGTTATCTTCTGCAGGGAGGAAACCTGGGAATACAGTGTAAGGACAGTGAAGGACACAGCTGTGGGCAGGATTAACCCGAGCTGGACGAGACTAAGTAAACAGAAGCAGTCCCTAGTTATAAAAAGCATTTCCTCACCCAGAAAGAGCTTCAAGAGACTATGTCACACAATTTGCAGAGTAAGGAGTTACCTGTGTTTTAACAAGGGACGATAGCAATGGAATGGCGATCAACTCCATTAGCTTTGGGATTAAAGCTGGGTTCAAGTTCCAACTCAATCACCGAGGCACACCCAGACAAAATCACTGCTCAGGTGAACACACCTGGCAATAGAACGGGACTGGGCGTGCTCAATACGCAGGATACAATTGGGTGATGAGGACCTTCCCAAAGTTGTGTAATGCTTGAGGCCTCAGCTTTGAATCTAATCAAAAGTTGTCCCAAAAAAGTCTACCTGAAAGTATCTGGTATAATCTTGGCGCCCAGTAAGTGCCCTAAATAGCTACTTATACCTATTACTAGCAGTCCCCCTTCATTCTGTAGGATTGCCTCAGGCAAAATATTCATTCAGATAGGCTTGAGCCAAGATGTTCAGAGCAGGTTTTTCCCAATATAGTGTACCCTTGGTTTGTTGAGCTATCAGTAGCTGTCTCCTGGGCCTCAGGAAAAGGTTACCATTAACTTAAAAAATGAAGACTGCCCAGATTTGGGGCGGGGGGGGGGGGGCGGTGGAACACTTTTCATCAGAGAAACCTATCTTATGGGGCCTCCTTGGTGGCACAGGTCGTTGAGCACGCACTGTGAAGCTGTCCACACCCTGTGCAGTGCAGGTTCAATCCCGTCAAGCCGGTGAGAAGCCCACATTGCACAGCAGACCTCTCCTGTCTGCCTGCTGCTCCCCTCAGCAGTGTATTTCAGTCAATCTGCCTGTTCAGTTCACCTTCCAGCACATCTGGCCTGTACCCCGGTTCTTGTATAAATAAATAAATCTTTAAAAAAAAAAAAAAAAACCCTATTTTAGGGCAGGGCAAACATTTCGAGGTAAGGATTTGTCACCCCCTTAGGGTAAGTGTTTATCAGGGCTTTCTGCCCTCCTGCCATTAGGATTGCATACCTGATGGGGCACATGCATTTTGTTACATTGTTATAAGTAGTGTTGTTTGCTTCTGTGGGCCATGGCTGCAGTATTGAGATATTTGCCAAGAGAAGCAGAGGTAGAAGGAACGAGAACACGGGAAAGGGCCAAGTAAAGAGTGAAAATTCGCCAGGGGCTTGGAGGCCTCCTGGCCTCCTGGCCCCCGGCATCCCTGCTTGCTATGTACATGTTTGCCACACTACATATATATATATAAAAGCCTGAGAATGCCACTGAGGGCTCCAGGACTCTCCTTTACCCAGTCTGCTTGGCACAGAGAGAACCAGCTGTGTGCCTTCCTGGCACTACACACTCATATGTGAGTTCCCTCCTCTCTCCTTAAAGCCCCAGGTCCCTGCCTCATTCCTTAGTTTAGTATATAAACCCTTGTCCCGTTTACTTTAGCATATACAGCCATGTAAATTCTCCACATGGAAATAACTAAATTTGTTTTTTCTCTTGCTAATCTGATAGTAATTTGTTTGCTGGTGTAGCCTAAGAGCCCAGAGGGATAGGGGAATTTTTTTTAACTTTATGATTTCTTCAAATTAAGGTAATGCTGTTTTACAACATCATTTGTGTTTTGGAAGTAGAGGGTCCCCCTTTGTGTGTAATAATAGTACACCCTCTACCAAAGCACCCCATAGTCCATCAACTTCCTTCCCAAGTAGGAGAATTTCCTACAGTGTCCCATCAACCTCAAACACAGGGAACATACCATGATCACAGCTATGTTTATTATGTGATTTATCATGTGTTAGAGTCTCTGTTATTTGTACTTACAGCTCTCCATGCACTCAGCAGAAGACAGGGGGGCCTGCACCTCGGACTGGCAGTTCATTCCAGTAGACCCTCACCTAGAATCTGATCTTTAAAGCCATTGGGGCCACTTAAGAGCACTGACCAACTTACTCATTTTTTCACATAAAGAAACTGAGCCACAGAATGATGACTGAGGTTATTAAGAGCAAAACTGGGACTAAAACCTAAATCTTCTAACTGCTTCTACTACTCTGACCTTATCACACTATTTGAAGATGTAGAGAAAAAAACCTAGGTGATCCAGCCCTTGCTTTTCTTGCCTCGCTCTCTATCCCAAGCACTTCCCTCCAGAGCTGCCTGGCAGTTCCTCAAACAAATGATTATCTTTTGCAGCCACTGTTTCCATTGCCTAAAATTCTCTTCCCCCTGGATCTCTGTCTACTCACTTTCAACTCAATCTTCAGATCTCCCCTTCAGCCTCTTAGAGAAACCTTCCTGACCCATAGAACTAGATTAGGGGTTCTTGCTGTATATATTCTGCCCCTACTTTTGACTTCCATGACTCGCAGTTTGTAACCCTGCAATGCACCTTTCCTTCAAATGGGAATAATAATAGGACATCACTGAATTATTACAATGATGAAATGAACATTATATGAAGTATCCCACATATCATAAGTCCTGTGAAAAAGTTAGACATTATTATTTGATTGTCCATCCTTTTCACACCTCCTCCCACCCCCCCCCAAATATATGTAATCAGCATTAAGGCAGAATACATCATTGTATCCCTAGGACGCTTTTAGTAATTGCTTATGATGGCATAAATGACTTATGTTATTTTGCCCAGGATTTCTCTCACTTTCAATTGTAAAATTGCAAAAAAAAAAAAAAAAAAAAATCCCCATTCCCATTCATAAATAGTCAAATATATAATTTACAAATTCCCACATAATTTAAGCTGAGTAGTTTAGGAAGCAATTTACATCAAAGGTGCAAATAGGAGCATTAGCAATGAAATATCTCTAAGGACATATTCTCTCCAGTTTAATTTCCAGACATGGTGAGGAAGGCCTGAGCCAGGTGGCTCAGATCCAGGTAGGGCAGAAGTACTGGTACTTGGGACAGAACGTCCTCCACCTGCATCATTTGTCCTGCCCTTGTGGGCTCGTGCCCTGGATCAGTTACACCAGGCATGTGGTAGGGAGGAAGCCAGGTGGCATCTCACAGACTTATTGGGGCAGGGGGAGGGGCAGAGAGGTCGCAGGTGTAACTGAGGAACAAGCTATCATGTGCTCCAGCAGGGTCATGGAACAAATACTACTTGGAAGAGAGTGAGGGAGAAGGAACCCACAAGTCACTTCTCCCCCTCCATTCATTCCTATATTTACCAATTACTTAGTGTGTGTCTATGCTATAGGCACTAAAACAGATGCTGTCAAACAAACACAAAGTATATAGGTTCACTGTCCTCGAGAATTTTACAATTCAGTCAACAGAGATGATGTGGTTTTTCCACATCAGTATACATAAAAATATCCTAGGGAGTTTGTCCCCTTTAACTTTTTATTGAAAACGACATACATACAGAATCATAGTCTAAGGGTAGAGCTCAATGAATTTTGCACAAATGAACAGCCTTTGTAACCACCTGATTTAAAAAACAACAACAACAACATTGCTAGTAACCTAGAAGATTCTTTATAAGAGCAGATTCTGGGACCAGGTCCACATGATACTGACTAGAGGAAGGGAAAGTTCCATATTACCTACCCCAACCAGTGAAGGGTGGAGCTGAGTGACCAGAAAAAGATATAGACGACTTGGAAGAAAAGGGGCCTCCCTGGTGGCGCAAGATGTTAAGACACAATACTCTGAAGCAATCCACAGCCACTGCAGCCCAAGTTCAATCCCCGGCCAGGGAGTTGACGCACATGGCGCAGCAGACCTCTCCTGTCTCCCGGCTGCTCCCCTCAGCAATGTATTTCAGTCAGTCTGCCTGTTCTGTTTCCCACTCTGTCTCTGGTGAGTTCTCTCACCCCCCACACCTCTGGCCTATACCCCAGTTATTGTATGCATAAATAAATAAATCTTTGGGGAAAAAAAAAAGAAGACTTGGAAGAAGAACACACAGGAGGGGAGACGGAGCAGAGAGACACGTGAAGGAGGGCACGCTTGCTTCTCTGCTTTGGATTTACACCAGGGATTTGGGGAACATGGAAGAAGACACATGGAGTTGAGACACAGAGAGACACTTGGATGAGACAAGCGAGGAGGCTGACAATGCAGCTGTTACCTTGATTTTTACTTTGATTTTGCTCCTTTCATCCCAGACTTGCTGGACCCTTTCTGCCTCTTTCCCATGGTTCCCTGCCATAGGAAGGTGCCTTAGACTTATGGCAAGTTTTCCTACCTCAGCTGCCCTGTTTTGGACCAACCCTGACTGGCTGGGCATTTACCCATGAGGGGATGGGTAACTGTGTGTTTCATTGGGGAATTATTATCCTCTCCTCTCTCTATGCAAACAAATCCTATTAAATTTCTTTCACACTAAGAGTGTGTTTTGTCTTTATGTAGTAGACAGCAGAAGCAATTTAGAGCATGCAACTTCGGGGGTTCAAGGATACCTCTAAGTCTGCACTAATAATACTAGATTTGCAGCAGAGGGATCTGCATGGTGATAATGAGGAGGAGGAAGAGAGGAGGATTTTTTTTTAAATATTTATTTATTTATTTATACAAGCACTGGGTACAGTCAGAAGCAGGGGAGGGTGAGAGAATTCCCCAGAGTGGAGAACAGAACAGGCAGACCAATGAAATACACTGCTGAGGGGAGCAGCGGGCACGGCAGGAGAGGTCTGTCGTGC